ATAAATGAATTTATTTTAATAAAAACAAGTTCCTCTGGTGAGGCTGATCTCTAAGCGAATGTTATGTTGGGGCTGGCACCAATCTGCCTATGCTAAACACTATATTCATATTGCTTAAGTCTGCAACCAGGTTTTTTTTTTTTTTGAGGGGTGATGATAACAGTTCTTGCTTTGGTAGAAGCAGTACCAAGGTAATTGGCAGCAATTCAGGCTAAGGAGTATGTTCTCAGCACTGTGTTTTCTTGGACAGATTGCCCTGTGGGCATGGACCCAAAAACTGGGAGAATTCGGGCTGACTGGGCATTGGGCAAGTGAACCAGGGGAGGACAGCTTTATAGGAGGAGGAGTGACTCTATAAATAGGCTAAAGAAGAGAGGAGGAAGAAGAAAGCAAGGGAGGAAGTGGGGGGTAAAATGTGGAAGTGCAGTCAACGGCTCCACGTCCCTAAAGGGGTCTCTTCTTACCTTTCACTTGAGACATCTTTATTTGCTTTACTGTGTTTGCTTGGCCATAGGTTCGTACATTCCTGGAAGGACAGAAGTTGCCGTTAACTCAGCCGTAACACTCTCCCACAGCCTGCAATTACACTGGCACACACAAAACACTGAGTCATCGGCCGGGTTGCAGAGTGGCTCACGCCTGTAATCCCAGCACTTTGGGAGGCTGAGGGCAGATCACGAGGTCAGGGAGTTTCGAGACCAGGCTGACCAAAAAAAAAAAAAAAAAAAATCATATTTCCACTTGAAACAACTTCATCTTTTAGGATTAATGTGGCTCAGCGGAGCTCTGCTGTGCTTTTAGGATTAATGTGGCTCAGCGGAGCTCTGCACAAAGGGTCCGCGACTGGGATGGGGGTGGGGAGTGAACGTCAAGGGGCCCAGGAGCGCTCGAGCGTCCAGGACCCGGCGTGTGGAGCGGCTGGAGGGTGAGTTGCCGCTCTCCGCTTTGGTTCTGTTCCTCCTCGTTCTGACGGCGGTGCGGGGGAAAGGGAAAGTGAGTGGAGAGGGGCGGCGACGCCGGGCGGTGTTCCCGAAAGCCCAGGCACTCGCTGACCCCGCTGCAGGGCTGGTTCCCTGGAAGCCGTCGAGATGTGAAGCCCTCGACTCGGAAGGAAGTCTCGGGAAGAGAGAGTGGCTGTTCGAGGGGAGGAGGGCGGCGGAGGGACAGAGGGCGGCTCCGCCTTACTCGGCGGTTCCAAGTGCGGCTGAACTGAACTTTCGGTGTCAGCGGGTGGAGCTGCGGACTGCGGAGGAGCGAGGAGAGGTGGAGCTACCGCTGACAAGGGGCGCGGCGACATCTGTCAGGGCACGGGGTTCCCAGCCGGGCTCGCGGCGGTCTCGGAGGGGCGGGGCTTCCGCCCAAAGGGGCGGGGCCTGGGTCGTGTCTCCCCTGGGGATGGGCGTGTGATGACAAGGGGCGTTTCAGTAGAAGCCAGCATGCTTACCTCTCACGATCCAGCAGTGACATTAGGAAGGCGGAGCGCAAGGAAGGCGGGGTTGCCTTCTGTGCTGACCCGAGAGAAGACTAGGCTTCCGTCGACAGTGGGCGGAGCGGTCGCCGGCAAAGGGCGGGGCCATTTCGAGCCCTGGGAAGGCGGGGCTTCTCCTGACAGAGGGCGGAGCTTCCGCAGCCTGGGGCGGGGCTTCTGTTGACAGGGGGGCGGGGCGGCTCCCTACCTCCCGCGGTGCGCCAATCCCCGGACTAGGGGCCGGGGTCGGACCCCAGTGGAGTAGCAGGGTCTGGGCGTGGAGAGCCCGGCGCCGTACGGGGTGGGGGCGCGCGGAGGACGCGCGCGCGGGAGGGCCCCTCCTTGACCGGCTCTCTCCCCTCCCCCTCCGCCCCCGACGGTCGCTGGGGCGCGCGCCTCTCCTCGCACCCCCACCCTGGGTCCCCACGCTCTGCGGGGCCACCGAGCTGCTGAGGCCCCTTTGCGGGCCCGCCGAGCGGTTCCGGGTTTAGGGTTCACAGGTCAGAGTTGACTCCCTGAAAAGTGCAGCCGGTTTGAAATGCAAGATGGCGGCGGCGTGGCGCTGAGAGGCGCGGCGGCCCCTGCAGGTAGTGGCGTGAGCCGGCCCCGCGACCAGCGGGCCTGGAGACTCTGGGCTGCGGGTGGGAACCGGAGCGCAGAGTCCGCGGCTGGCACGGGAAAGGCGAGTGGCGCGGGGCCCGGTGGGAGGAGGGTGGCCTCACAGCAGAGACCCCTGGGGCTGAGCCCGCTCGCGGCGGCCGGTGGCGTGGTGGACCCGGCGCGGGGCGTCCAAGGGGACGGACGGGGCCTGCCTCGCGGCTGGGCAGTCGCCGCAGAGGGACAGATAGATCCACAGCCTCCCTCGCTCTTTTTGGGTGTCTCCGCCACCGAAAGAGCTTGGGGGCGGGGGGCTCTCTGGAGGGAAAATCTCAGCCCCCTGCCTTGGTGAGGACTGAGCAACTTAGGATTGTTGAGGGGAGTGAAGACTGCGTATTCCCAGCGGAGGGCGCCGCCGGAGGGAGCACCCCAGTGATGTTGGGAGTCCTAGAGGAGGTCGGGAGCGCTGTCCTCCGGGGGCGTGTGGCTACTTCGTGGGGACTCAGTCTCCCTGAGGGTAAGGAGAGATTCTCTTGCTGGAGCTGAGCGCACTGACTGAGGTTGGAGCCCGAGCAAACCCTTCGGGAGAAGTCCTTACCTCCAGTTCAAGGAAGGCTGTGCGCACCCGTTTCGGGGCCAGGCCATGTCCCAACTTTGGGGAAGACTGGGAGTTGAGTCCTTAAGAACCATATTACGATTGTGAGGAAGCCCTGGGATTTAGAGAGAAGTTAATTAAAGAGGATGGTAGGGGCGTGGGGGTGTGGGGGCTGACCCATGGGAATCCTCCAAGCCTTAGGGCCCACAGTGAACAATCTACTAATTCCTCAAGGGGAATAAAAGGCTGGGAAGGAGAGGTTTGAGAGGAACAAAGTCTAAAGGCAGGAAAGAAGAGCCCTGGCAGATGCCCTTTCCTTATATATTTACACCAAAGTTGGAGGTAAAGGGACTTGGCAATTCTTTGTTTTAGTACCTTTCCTGTCCTCTCTCCTCCGTGGGTAACTGTGAGGAAAGAGCATAGCCCCTGAGAAGGAAAAGATTCCAATTTGATACCCTTAGCTTAGGTTAGTGAAGGATCCAGCAGCTGGGAAGGCGTCAATGAGAAACAGCAGGCAGGGGAATTAGAACAGGGACTAGGGATGAGAAAAGAGAAATACAGGGAAGATATCGGACAGCAGGAATTCCACAGCCCTTTCTGTCAACTCAACCCAGCTATTAGAAAAAAAAAAAAAATGCGAAGAGATAATCTTTGAGAGAAAAATGTAAGAAAAGGCTGAGAGAGAAGTTGTGATGTGATTAGGCTGGGATTCCATGTAACTTAAGCAATTCTTTTGGAGGTTAATGTGATAGCAGAAAAAGGAAAATAACAAAATTGGAAAATATACAGCGGTTCACGGTTAGGGAGGAAGAAGCAGTTTTCCCCCAGGAACAGTTGATATTTGGTTTGGGGTGTGTGTTGTGTGTATACATATATAAGAGCACTTTAGATTTGTTGGTATTGGTCATTGTTTCTCAGTCTTTGTCTGAAAGCTTTAATTTGTGTTGTATGGTGCTACATTAATTATCTTTGTCTATGAAAAATTATTCTGAAAAAGTCATTCGTTTTTTTGTTGGGAGTGAAGGTGAGCAGGAGTTGGTTTTAACAGGGAAATTGACCCTAGTATACCCATCGATTATTTTAATTTCTAAAGTAGCAATTCTGACTCCTGATTTTTAAGCAAAAGAAATGTGAGTGCTGCCATTGACAATAATGCGGGAACAGGACATAAAAGAAAAAGGGCTTTCATGAATATTTTTTTCCTTTTAGTTTTTCTCTCCTTTCCCAAAGCATTTGAGGGCTAAGCAGACTAATTTTATACAAAGTAAAATGTATAATCGTGGAGCTTTTCGATACAAAATGATAGCATTTCAGTTACCAATGAATCTTTTTTGTTGAAGTACCTCTTCAGATTCCTTATTTAACAATCAGGATTAAAATGAGAAATAAAGAGTAATACTTGGGTAACTGATGATAGCGATGATTCATAGAGATTTCTTGAACCATTCTTGTAATTTCAAAAGAACTTTAACGTCTTCGGTGGAAATGTTTTAAAGATAGAGTTCAAGTATAAACTAGTTGAGAACTTCACATTTGGAACATTGTATGCATGTGTGCTGTTCTTTGGTTTCCTCAGTGTGCATGTAGCTCTAGTTTTATATTCAATTCTGAACAGATTAGGCTGGGTGAACCAGAGAGGCATTAATGCCAGATGGTTTGAAAATATGCTAAAGCCGAAAACATAAATGTGTCTGTGCTATGAACACTCATTAGTACATTTCTTTCCTTTATAGCTAAGCTTATTATTTCACTGGATTTGGGAGGTAGTTCATGCATGATGTAGCAATTATTTCACCTTTAATGATAATCGTAAGTTCTTTTTTTTTAATAAATGGGGACAAAGTTTTACAGTTATTAGCGAAATTAATAGCATAGGAGAGGTGGTTAATTTTGAAGATTTTTCTCCCCTTTGTATTATTTTATATTAAGATAGAAAGGTTACATTATGATGTATTATATTTCTTATGCTAATTAAGCATAAAATGTGATATTTGAGACTTAGTTTGCTGTAAATTATAACTTAATATTTAAATGAAAATGCTTTTAAAATTATTAAAATGATCACAAATGTTGCTGAGGAAATAACCCTTTTATTTGTGTTGCAGCATTGTGGATTTGGGCCCAAAAGACTTTACTTAAATTAACAGTGTTGAAAGTTCAGCATCTAGTTTTTAATCTAATATCATAGTCAATGCAATTATTCAGAGAGATTTTTAGAATTATCTGTTGTACTGTTTATGGTGCTAGCCAGTAATACACATTTTTTAAACCATTGTAAGTATTTATTTATGTTGTGATAAGCACATTTACTGTTAAGACTAAATTTTTTGAACTTAAAATCTTTTTAAATAATCATACGTATTTTCAAAAGTAAGTTATATTTCTGTTTTTGAAACTGCTACTGTCTTTAGAATAAGAGTCAATGTTTCTATACTACTACTGATAAATTTTATTGTATCCTTATTGCTCTGATATATTTGTAGTCATGAATAACCAGATTTGCATGACTGAAGTTGCTGACTTAGATTATTAATCAGAATATACATTGAGTTTACATTCTGGAGATCTGCATTTTATACAGGATATTCTTAAAGTAAATAGTAATATGTAAATTTTTAGGTAGTTGCCACGTTTTGATCTTAAAAGATACTTAATCTTGGCATTTTATACAATTGGTTTCCAATTTAAGAGGTAGGACTGTATACCTTTGGTCTAAACAAATATGATGACATACTTTGGAAAATAAGTATACATGAGCAGTTTAAGAATGATGTTTAGTCAAGGGAGCCAATTGAATACTTTTTTTTTTTTTTGAGACAGGGTCTCATTCTGTGGCCCAGGCTGGAATGCAGTGGCATAATCATGGCTCACTGCACCCTCAATCTCCTATGCTCAAGCAATCCTCTCTCCTCAGCCTCTCAAGTAGCTAGGACTACAGTCATGTGTCACCCACACCTGGCTAATTTTTAATTTTTTTTTGGTAGAGATAAGGTCTTGCTGTGTTGCCCCAGCTGGTCTCAAACTCCTGGCCTCAAGCAGTCCTCTGCCTTGGCCTCCCAAAATACTGGGAGTACAGGCGTGAGCCACTGCATTCACTAAATAAATAATTTTTAATGCAAGATTTTAATTTTCAGTTCTTAGTTTTAGATTTTTTAAAAAATCAGAATTTATCTTAACAAAATTAAAATATTGAAGTCATAGCCATATCATATATTATTGTAAATAAAATAACTCTTTCATTAAATTTTGGCGATTTCCTATTTCTCAAGATTTCTAATCCTTTTTCCCATTCTTAAAAGTCTTTCTTTTCCTTTTTTGTTTTTAGTGAGAAATGAAAGAAGATAGGAGGTTCTGATATTTCTAAGCACTTAACTCATAATTATGTTTTTCTTCTATCCTAAGTTTATTCTCTTTTACAATCCAATATTCTTAAAAAGAAGTTTGTTAAAACTTTGCTAGACATGGGCTGTACTTGGGAGTGGGGAGGATCATGAGAACAATTTCTGCTCGTTACTATGATAAAATTACTTACATCAGATGTTTGCTAGTTCTATGAAATACCCCTTAAATATGTCATGCAGTAATGATTCATTTTGAAGCTAAGGTCAGAAAATGTTTGTGGGGGGAGAGGTTAAATTTGATTGATTAATACCTGCCTATTGAAGCCAACTTATTCCAGCATGATTTAATATGCTCAAAGGTACAAAATGGCAAATACATTTTGCTGGTTGGTTGTTACCCAGATTCTTAAAGTATTTTATCACTTGTCAACAGTTAGCAAATTTTAAACAAAGATTTCTTTGCTAACATTCATTGTGTTCTAAGTACCAAGAAGTATTCCAGAAACTTTACATGTGTTACCTATTTCAATCCTCACAACCACCCTATTAAGTAAGTAGTATCCTATTAATATTACTAGCCCCATTTGTAGATGACAGGGCTGAGGCACAAATAGGCTAAGCCATTTGTCTAAAGTCACACAGCTAGTAAGTGGCAGTGCTGGATTTGAACCCAGTCTGTTCCAAATTTTTCAGGCTCTTGGTCTTTTTTTGTAATCCATCTACTACCAGAACAGCTTGTTCTGTTTTATTATATAATGTATATAGCTGAGATGAGCTCTTTAATTTTTGGAATTCACTCATACTAAATTAAGAAAAATACTTTGAATTAGATAGAAATGTTCTGAAGTAATCCCAGTATCAGGAACTTAACATCAGGCAACTAGGATTTTCATTCAAAAGCACTGATGAGCTCATTTTTGCTCCTCTGGTATCCTTGTGCCTTTACATGTCTTGGCAGCTCTTCTTAAGAGACTCATTCAGTAAAATATCTTACAATTACTGTGTGATTTTAAGAATGGATTGAAATAGGTTACCAGTTTCCTACAGTATTAATAATTCATTTTGGAAAATAACCTTCCCTCTTTGGCAGCTGTTTCCTATCTTTTCTTCTAGTCCACATCCTGTAGATTGATGGCTAACGAGTGGCAGAACAAGGAGATACCAGGAAATGAAATTGTAGAGTCCCAGGCTACAGAGATAACAAGATGCTTCACTGGGCCTACCAGGAAAATGCTCTTTTGCTTTTCATAAAAATAGTGTACTTATTCAGCCTAAGTTTTAACTTAATCTAGAGGTATTTTACTAGGGGACTGGTGTATTTACATTATTTCTTGATGTGAGAAGTTTCTTCATAAACCTGTAATACTAGCAGGAATCAAAAAATAAGGTTAATTGGGAAAATAATCTTCCTTAATATTTATTCATTATAGTTTACAGAGAATAGTGCTTAAAGAATACAACAAAAGGCCAGTTAGGGATCACGCCTGTAATCCTAGCCCTTTGGGAGGCCAAGGCGGGTAGATCACTTGAGCTCAGGAGTTTGAGACCAGCCTGGCCAACATGGTGAAACCCTGTCTCTACTAAAAATACAAAAATTAGTTGGGCGTGGTGGTGCGTGCCTGTAATCCCAGCTACTCGGGAGGTTGAGGCAGGAGAATCGCTTGAACCAGGGAGTCAGAGGTTGCAGTGAGCCGAGATTACGCCACTGCACTCCAGCCTGGCGACACAGCGAGACTCTGTCTCAAAAAAAAAAAAAAAAAAGAATACAACCAAAATGCTTTAACCCTTCAAAAGTGTTATTTATGACTGTTCTAGTAAGAGAAGCAATTGTAGCTTTATTAAACTTTTCTGATTGGTTTAACTGCTCTAGGTTATATACTACAACATATTTGGACAGTAATTGAATTTTCAGAGAATTATTTTCTATTTATTTGATTGCATGATATTAATGCCTCACAGTGCACTGATTGTAAAGCCATTTGGTAGTAGCTTTCAGGCAAAAACGACATGGCTAAACACCAGTCATTCTGTTAGATAACCCCATGTTTACAGATCAAGTACTACTAGTTTGTTTAACTTGTTTTGGCTTGTGTTATCAGCATTAATAATCCTCTCCATTCTGATTAACGTAATAAATTAGGATACAAATGTCACTAGGTTTATGTACAAACACATAAACATATACAACTACTTCCATTTCTTAGTTTAACTAAATTGTCTTCATAACCTTTGTATACTTATTTATTTATTTTGAGTCAGAGTTTCACTCTTTTTGCCCAGACTGGGGTGCAATGGTGCGATCTCGGCTCACTGCAACCTCTGCCTCCCCAGTTCAAGCGATTCTCCTACCTCAGCCTCCTGAGTAGCTGGGATTACAGGCATGCGCCACTATGCCTGGCCAATTTTGTATTTTTAGTAGAGACAGGGTTTCTCCTTGTTGGTCAAGCTGGTCTCGAACTCCCAACCTCAGGTGATCTGCCCGCCTTGGCCTCCCAAAGTGCTGGGGTTACAGGCATGAGCCACTGCGCTGGCCTTTATACTCATTTTAAAGAACTCCCAATTTCTACATCTCAATTTTCACTTTACAGACGGCATATATTCACATTTTGAAATTTTATTGAAAATGGTGTAGTAGTTATTTGGTTGTTCTGTATAATACAAATAGAATTTTTTAATGTGTAGTTTTTGTGTTTCCTACCAATATTAGGATTGGTATTTAAATGGTTCTTTTAAAGTTTTGATGAGGGAATAAACTTTTTTTTTTCCAAAATTACATTTATTTATTAAAAACTAAGCCATAAATTGTAGAAATTTCCTAAGGCTAAATTATATCTAGAATAATAAAATGTGAATTTTTTGTAGGAGAAGACAGACAGCTGCTTTGGACCTGTTGGTGATGATGGCCTGAGCTAAACATCTAACTAGAAGGGATACCCTTCCATTTCAAGAACAGAATGCTAAGGAAGCTGTGGCAAGTATGTGTTTCATTGTTTTGGTATGGTAAAACTCAGATACTGAATGTACTCAAGTAGATTCCATGATACTATATTTGGCTGAAGTTTTTAAAAGCTTTCCTTAAAAAGCAGCAGACATATGTTAACACTTTTTTTAATATACTTTCAAATTTTAAGAGCTATAACTATAGGACTGCTTTAATTTCAAAAGCGACAGCATCACACTTCATAATAAAGCTTATATGGTATATTTATAATTGATTTTAAACTTAGTATTTGATGAAATCTGCTGTGTCAGGCACTATACCAAGTGCTGTGATAACAGAGGTAAACAAGACAGAATGTACCTTTGGTGTGGGGAAATTGATCTAGAAATTTTGCTATGCTTTTACCTATATCCAGAAAAATGCTTCAGGATGTTCAAGAACAAATCCTGGAACTATATTTTCAAAACATACGCTACTAATAATAGTTAATTATAAGAGTCAGAATATTAAATACTCTTACTTATATTAACCATACCAAAACCTAAATATTTGAATATTGATCCTTTTGTAGTTCATAAGTGTGATGGTTGGGTTTCATGCTCACGTGTGAAATGTGCCTTTCTCAAACCTTGTTATGACACTGGCATATTACCTGTGTGACGTTAAAAATATATATATATATTTGAATATATTTGTACATAATTGCTTTTATATTTTATCTGATTAATTAATTGGCTTTTATAAGAAGCATTTATCCAATTGTTATTTTAGATGATTCCAGAAAATACTAGGAAAGATTTGATAAACATTAATGTAGTAGTTTTCATTTTTAAAAAATTGATAACAGAGTTCTTTTAAGTTGATATTGCCAATACTGATTACTATTATCTTTCAAAGTATTTTGAAAAATCAAATTATTATATCCTCAGTGAAGTGGGTAACAGTTACCTTACCTTTATAAATAGAGAAGATAATGACCAGATGAATGGTTTTTCAGTCTTCAGAGATAATCTCACTTGGAACTGAGAATAGCATTCTTGTGTTAGACTGTCTGTAAAAGACTTAACACACCTTCTTGAGAGAAGTAGGGAAAAATTGTTTTCGGCAGAAAATTACTTTTTGATCACGTTCACAAACTCTTCACAAGATAAGATATTTCATGATACTGCTAGTTTATATATCACTTTCAATGTATTACATACCTACCTACCTACCTGCCAGCTGTGCGGAGAAAACTAGGATGTTAGTGTCCTCGGGAGAGACCTTTCAAAAAGAGATTTCACTCCTCCAATCTATGGTTGGAGCTTGCCAGAAAAAATCTGTCCAGTTTGGATTCTTCTTTTAATCTTTAGTGTCATTAAGGTCTGCTTTCTCAGATGGAAAAAAACAGGTAGACAGGATAGGGTTTCTTACCTTTCAGCCTTAATTAGCATTAGCAAAGGTATCCTCTGACATTTGGTTATCTTTGACCACAATTTCTTAGATGCTTTCACTTTTACTATTTTTATTCCTGTTTGTATATTCACTTTAATACTTGATTTTCTGTTGTCTTGAAACTATTTTTTGGCAGTTTTCTTGAGATTTATCTCTCAGGTAGTGATTCTAGGTTACCAGCAATCGTTAAGAACATCTGCTGTGGATATAAATTTGTGTTGTCAAATTCCTAATTTAATTTTTTAAGAACTTGATGTTTCTAAATATTTTAACATTTTATTTTTATTTTTACATTTTAACTTTGAAAATACCTTAATTGTGTAAAAGTAACCTTTATTTTTTTTTAACACAGTGGGTACCTTTTGTTTTAATCTGACCTCATTCTTTGTTCGTACTGTTTAGGCATTCCGTGATTTTTGTGTATTTGTAACTTTTAATACAAACGTGTTACAGTATTTTCAACTGGCTAAACAGAACTCTTGATTCAGAGAGAGAGAAGTGACACTAAATAGAATACAGAATCCTAAACATTCTCGGTATATATACAAATGCAGATTCCGAGGGATTCTCCATGTGCATGTTTTTGCTACCTAAGAACAGTTTTAGTTTTGATGCTACATCAAAATTAACATGATCCCTAAAAACTATAGTATCTTCTAAATGCTCTTTTTTTTTTTTTGAGACAGAGTTTTGCTCTTGTCGCCCAGGATGGAGTACAATGGCATGATCTCGGCTCACTGCAACCTTCTTCTCCCAGGTTCAAGTGATTCTCCTGCCTCAACCTCCCGAGTAGCTGGGATTACAAGTGCATGCCACGATGCCAGCTAATTTTTGTATTTTTAGTAGAGACGGGGTTTCACCATGTTGGCCAGGCTGGGCTCGAACTCCTGACCTCAGGTGATCCACCCACCTCGGCCTCCCAAAGTGCTGGGATTACATGCGTGAGCCACCTCGCCCAGCTCTAAATGCTCTTATTTGACCCAGAATTGGTATAAAAAACAAAGTTAGTGGCCAGACACAGTGGCTCACGCCTGCAATTCCAGCACTTTGGGAGGCCGAGGCAGGCGGATTACGATGTCAGGAGTTCAAGACCAGCCTGGCCAAGATGGTGAAACCCCATCTCTACTAAAAAAATACAAAAATTAGCCAGGCGTGGTGGCAGGCACCTGTAATCCCAACTACTTGGGAGGCTGAGGCAGAGAATTGCTTGAACCTGGGAGGCAGAGGTTGCAGTGAGCCAAGATCGCAACACTGCACTCCAGCCTGGGCAAAAGAGTGAGACTCCGTCTCAAGAAAAAAAAAAAAAAAGTTCGTTTTTATTCGCATAAAATCTTACCAAATAACATGCTTTTGTGGCTAACTAGGCCAACATATTGTTATCTGTTAATCATTTAATTTGAAGTCCAAGACAGCCAGAAAAACCAGAAGCTTGCAAATTCAGTGCAGTTGTGGCTCTGCTTAATGATAAAATATTTTAGACTTTTTTTAGTAGTAGTAAGCATAGAATTTGAAACAGTCCACTAACTTCTTAGTGTATTATATCGAGGACTTTTAAATTTTTTTAAAAATGTAGTAGAACACTATTAAAGTATAGTTTTCTCATAAAACAGAGAAGTAATGATTCTAAGTACAAATTTGCATTTGCTGTCTTTATAGTAACTATACCCTTTTCTCCTGAATTTCACTGCCAAAATCATTCTTTGAATGTTTGCTCTCCCTTGTTTTACTCTTAAGTAATCCACAAATTTAAATATACTCAATTCATATATAAAACTGATGTATTACAATAACATTTTAGATGTTAGTAAATGTTTATTGAATGTTCATTGCTATACTTTAATAGAATGTTTTAGATTCAAGGATGTTTTAATATTCTTGACTAAGGTAATTTTTATTAAGAATTTTACCATCGAAAGTAATCTATGGTAAATCAAGCACAATTGTTTTTGTAGCTCTTCTATAAATGAGTGTTTAATGAAGTAAAATGTATGTAATAATACATAGTATAGCTATATTTAAATTTTTTTTTTTTTTTTGAGATGGAGCCTCGCTCTGTCACCCAGACTGGAGTGCAGTGGAGCGATCTCGGCTCACTGCAACCTCTGCCTCCTGGGTTCAAGTGATTCTCCTGCCTCAGCCTCCCAAGTAGCTGGGATTACAGGCACCTGTCACCACACTCTGCTAATTTTTGTATTTTTTTTAGTAGAGACGGGGTTTCACCATGTTGACCAAGTTGGTCTCGAACTCCTGACCTCAATTGATCGGCCCACTTCAGCCTCCCCAAGTGCTGGGATTACAGATGTGAGCCACCACGCCCGGCCTAAAGATATTTTTTAGCAAACATTATTGGGGTCCTAGTAAGTATTTTGTTGGGCCCTGGGAATATAGTGGATAGCTAAATAGATATTCTTTCTGATCTAAAAGAAGAACTTGGATAAGAACTCCTAAACTTTTTAGATTGTGATGAAACACATTTTGCTTTACTAAAATGCTTTTCTGTAGAGAAATATTAATTGTAAAAATCAATTGTTTTGATGAGTTCAGAATCATAAGTTGATTGAAGGGTATCCTACCCTCAGGAGAAGATCCAGTATACAGATAGATATATGGTAACTGGCTAGTCTAGATCTACACCCTGGAGATTGTGTTTGGGTGGTCTCGAGGGCTCTTAGAGCCAGCCTGACTTCTCAGAGCTCCAGAAACTATACCTGAATGCTACATACTGAGGGATTCCTGCTTCCCTGGAAAATCCTTTTTTGTTGTTGTTATTTCCTTCCTTCCTTCCTCCCCTCCCTTCCCCTCTCTTCCCCTCCCTTCCCCTCTCTTCCCCTCCCCTTCCCCTCTCTTCCCCTCCCCTCCCTTCCCCTCCCTTCCCCTCCCTTCCCCTCTCTTCCCCTCCCTTCCCCTCTCTTCCCCTCCCTTCCCCTCCCCTCCCCTCCACTCCCCTCCCCTCCCTTGTCCTTCCCTTCTCTTCCTTCTCTTTCTTGTCTGTCTGTCTTCCTTTCTTTCTTCCTCCCTTCTTTCCTCTCTTCCTCCCTCCCTCCCTTCCTTTTCTTTTTTTTTTTTTTTTAAACAAATTTGCATGTCATCCTTGCCCAAGGGCCATGCTAATCTTCTCTGCATGGTTCCAATTTTAGTATTTGTGCTATGGAAGCCAGCACTGGAAAATCCTTTATGTAGCCATGTTTTTTGCCTTAATAATAGAAAAGAAACTTTGTTTCCAGCTTGACCATAGAAATATTGGTCATACATTGGCCATAGAAATATTTTAGTCTATTTGCAATTTTAGGGTTTTGAAAGTATTGTTTGTGGTACTTTATAATAAAGCAATGTGATAACAATATTAAAGAAAATTTGTAGGCTAGGCAGGGTAGCTCATGCCTGTAATCCCAACACAGGGAGGCAGAGGTGGGAGGATTACTTGAACCCAAGAGTTCAAGACCAGCCTGGGCAACATAATGGGACTCTGTTCTCCACAAAAAGGAAAAAAACACAAAAGAAAAAGAAAACTTGTGAATATCACACATAAAAATGTCACCCGGCCGGGCGCGGTGGCTCAAGCCTGTAATCCCAGCACTTTGGGAGGCCGAGACGGGCGGA